TTGTCTCTTCTACTAAGACTCCACTTAAATGCATGTTTTGGACATTTGATATTACTCTGTAGACCTTGAGTGCCCGGCTTCATTTTATTTTTTATGATTTTGTCTCTGTATATTTTAATTTAGATGATGACTTGTTTCCAAGTTCATTGATTTTCTCATCTGTTTTCTCTGTCTAGAATGCTAATAACCCATGATTTCATACTATCACCATTTCTAGTATAGCAGTGAAGATGGTGCAGGAAATACTTCTGAAAATCTCCTCTTTCTTAAAAGAAATGAAAATGGTGACAAAAATAGTCTGAATCTACTTTTCAGAACTCTAAAAATTGACCCAAGTCTTGCAGCAATCCAGGAACATTTGTTCAAATAAAATGGGAGACTCTCAGTAAGAACAGCAAAGTTTTGGAGCATTTTAACTGATCTTTTCCAATCCCTCCCTATCCCTGCAGATCCATGATTTTCTCTAAAGCCAACAACCCACAGTTAGGATGCCAGCATGTAGCCTGCTAGCCACTGGAGGGAGTAGAAAAATTTCCAGAGAATTGCCATTATTTTTCCTGTCTGGTGATTCCCTGGAAGACTCCACTTGCAAGACAACTTTTATTTGACCTGACTTGGAAGTAGGTTGTTGCAAATCTTTTCTCTGGGGACATTTGTCAAAAACAACCAGAGACAATTGTTGAATGTGATGGCTGCCTGAGGAGATGATTAACAGTTTAGGAAAACAATAGGGAAACCAGAAAGCTTAAAAACAAAAGCTAGGGAATGAGAGGTCTATAGGAGTCTTTGAAATGTTCCTAAATATTCCTGAAAATCTAGGTGAAGTACTCTACATAGGTAGGGCTATGCACAAGGTCTGAAAGAAATCCACACCTAAGCACATTGTAATTAAACTGTCAAAAGGCAAAATCAAAGAAAAGATCTTGAAAGTAACAAGGGAGAAGTGGCCCGTGACATCCAAGGAATCCTCAATAAGATTAATAGCTGATTTTTCATCATGAATAATGGAGACCAGAAAGTTTCCATCACTCTGTAGAAATTCCCCCCTCTTCACATGATGGCTAGAGTCTTTCACACATTAATCACCATTATTTAACCCTATGTGTTAATGCCAACATCTGGGTTATTGATGATCCAGTTCTATTTTTTATCTCTCTATGGCAAGTCTAATGACTTTCTGTCTTTTTCTTTTTTTTCATGTAGGTACAAGAGTAGACATTGCAGTATATACTTATGTCCAGTGAAGGGTTTTTTGGTTGTTATTCTGTAAGACTGTTAGTATGGGGAGTTGGCTCTTTTGCAAATAGCGCATAGTGTAGTTTTTTCTTTTATCCGAAGTGATCATCTTTTCCCCTTAATCAGTTTACATTTTATATTCATTATCTATTGCTAAGTAACAATTAGAAAATTAAGTGGCTTAAATCACTGAGCAGTTATTATCTCCTGGTGCACATGGGTCAGGGATTTGGGCATGGCCCAGTCAGGGGCCCTGCCCTATGGGCTATGGCAGTGCTGTAGTTAGTGCCTGCCAGGGCTGCTGGTGCATCTGAAGGCTCCCTGGGGAGAACCCTTGTCCAAGGTCCCTTGTGCCTGCTGGCAGGAGCCAGTTCCTGGAGGGCTGATGGACCAAGGCCTCAGTTCCTCACTGGCTGTTGGCCCGGTGGGCACCCTCAGTTCATTACCATGTGGGCATCTCTATAGAGTAGCCCAGAAAACGGAAGCTGCTTCATCACTGTGAGCAAGCAGGGACAGGGAGAGAGGGTGAGTGGGACAGAAATTACTGTCTTTAAAATCAAATCTTGGAGGTGATATCCCACCACTTTCACCATATTGTGGTTATTAGTGGTCATTACCAGGTCCACCTGAACTTGAGGGGCGGGATTATAGGGGAGAGAGTGCCAGGAGTGGGGATTGTTGAGGGTGTGTTAGAGGCTGCCTGCCATGTATTTATTTTGGTAACAGAGTGACTTGTTGCTGTAATTTTATCTGGTATTTCTGTTTGCTACCTTCTCTTCTCCAAACCCTCATATTTCTCTTAATCCTCATATCTCACTTTCTCCCTCCCCGTCTTCTTCCCTCTGGCCCTTCCCCACCCTGCTGTCTCTAACTTGCCCTGCTTGGACCTCTGCTCTCCTCCTGCCCTTCTCTTCCTGTCCTCTTCTCCTGAGGTGGCCTTGGACAGGTGCTGGTGGTCCATCTGCCTGCGTGGCTCACAGCTCTCCCTTCCTCCTTTTTCTTTGTCTTCCTTGCTTATTCCTGGCTCAGATTTTTGTGCTGCATCCCATTCAGTTTGCTAATATCTCCCTACTGCCCTCAGCTTAAGGTTTGTCCTGTCCATTTTATTTTGAGAGATTTTAATTTATATTTATGTTTTGGGGGGTATGTCTGTTCAAAGTTTGTAATCCCCTTTGTTTTATAAATCAGAATTTACTCCTTTATCTTTTTGAGCAACTCAAACAAGCATATGTAAAATCCTTCATCAGTTAGAAATTATACTACTGGCTGGATAGTTGATGATGTTAAGTAATTAATGTTAATTTAAAAAATGTGCAGTGGCACTGTAGTTCTGTTTAAGAAAGTAAGGCTCCTTATCTTTAGAGCAGTATTCTGAGGTCTGCACAGATGAGATGATCTGAGGGCTCCTGGCAGGAGAGGTTAAAGGTGGAGGTGAGCTAGCTCCTTGGCATCCGAGTGTTGAATCTTGGTAATCTGGGGTTTTATTGTATTCTTCTGCCTTGTGTTTAAATTTTTACTCAATACAAAGTTTTCAAAATCCTTTGTCATTGTCCCATAAAATCAGTTGCACCTGGAGTGAGTTCAAATCTCAGTTGCTGATTTTACTGGTAGTCTTTCTAACTGCGTTTCTCTGCATATTTGAGATTTGGTTCTCAGGGCCATTTTGAGTGGAAAGGCTGGTTTTCATCTTTTGGTTGGTTTCCCCCACTTTCTGTGTGGTCTTTTTACCCTCTCTGGCTTTTCTCAGCCTGTGGACACCTTCACCCAGGGTGGGCCGGGTTGGACTGTGCTTTCTGAAGCCTGTCTTGGGGTGGTCCTGGGGACACTGTGGAGGCAGAACAGGATCAGTGGGGCGCCAGGCCCACTCATGGTCTGGTGCGGGATCCGAGACCTCCTGGCTAACTAGGTTTAAGCACACAAAGCCACGGCCTAGGTGGGGGTCTTCAGGAACTCTGTGTCAGCGTCTTCCTCTGGGAAGGGCCCTGCGCTCCATGCAGCCCACCTGGTCTGGTCCCACCTCTATGGAGTGTGGTTTCTTCAGACCTCACAGAATAAAGGGAGGTCCTGGCTGCCTCTGCCTGATCCAGGCCCAGGGCCCAGCAGGCCTGTGGCTTCAGCTCCACCTACTGCTTGCATATCTGTTCTGTGTTAGATGCTTTCATCTTGTTTTTGAACCTGTCTGTGTCTTTTGGTCCTGTGCTCCTCCCCACCGTGGCTCTGTGTTTGGAGCAGCTAGATGCATCAAAGTGTGAACTCGCTGTGCTGTCTTGACTGGAGGGGGTCCTTGACTGAAATCACTGAAGGTTCCTTCAACTCTATTCAAAGACTGTCCTCTACTGCGTGATCTTCACAATGCTGATAGTTTGTCTCTTTGTATTAGATACAACATACTTAATTTAGTTTTTTCCCAAAAAAGATTTTCTTGGAAATCTCCTCAGACAAAATAGCAACCTGCTACCTCATGAGTTATTCTGTCTTTTGGTCTCCCCAGCACATATCACTCTCTGAAATTGTCTTATTTATCTGCACACACATTTGCCTCTCCCACTGGGATCTAAGCTCCGTGAGAGCAGAGACTTTCTCTCTGATTTCCCTGATGTATCTGTAACCCTTTACAATGATGCCTGTCACATGGTGGACACTCAGTAACGTGATGATAAATTACTGAGTCAGTCACTGCTGCCTGCCTGTGTTGTGTAGAGAGCTCCATGTCACATGGCCTCTCTTGAGGGCAGGAAGCAGGCATGAGTTATGGAGTGGCTTTGTAGGGCAGCTCTACTTTGACCATCGTCCATCGGCCCCATGTCTCTTGAGCACCTGCCCTGGGCCAGGCAATGACCCACAGGCATCTGCTTTACATTCACTTTCTGCAGCCCTTCTTCCTGGGCCATGTCCAGTCTGTCATCAGTCTCTAGGGTTTCATTACAAATCTCAGCAATGAATGAAGCAAGAAGGCAGTGATGGGTCATCCGGAAACAGGGGCCATGGGCTGGCCACCTCACTGGCTCACTTGTGAGGAAAGCTGAGGAGTTTGGCATGGGGAGCAGATCAGAGTTTCCACTGACAGGGGCAGGCTCACCCCTCCCCAGGCAGCTCACCACATTCTTACCTGTTGCCTGCCTAATCATGTTCTGGTGGCATGAGTCAAAAGGAGGCCTTGAGGCCCTCAGTGTTCCTGTGTGTCTGAGCGGTCTCTCTGGTCCTAGGAGGTGCTGAGGAGTGGGTATCTTTGCCCGGCACTTCAGTTCTGCCTCCCTCTGCTGACACAGCCTGGAAGCCATGGGCTGAACAACTGGGAGCCTCCATCCAAAGGAAGCATCAGAGGGTGTCAGGTGGGTGGTGGGTGGACATATGGATCAGGTCCTTGTCCCTCCTGCCCTACTGCTTCTCATGAATGCCACTGGAGAGCCTTGTCAGCTTCCTGCTTGGCTGGGACTACTGGCCAGAAATGGCAGGTCCAGAGCCCTGGGAGATGCTTGGTACCAGCTGCTTAATTGCATCCAATGAGCTTCTTCTCACATGGCACCAGGGATTGTTCACAGTTAAGTGCTGGGCTGCTGAGAGGCCCACACAGATTAGCCATTGCCTGGGACGCATCAGCCCCGGCAACTTGCTTTGAAAGATCCTTCGAGAAATCCCCAGCACTCAGTGCCACTGTTTGTGTTTAGCTTTTTGAAGTGTTGGCATTCCAGGAGCCTTCTTGGCATTCTTAGATATTCTACAGCATCTGGGAAGCCAAGTTACTGCATTTTTCTGCTCTACAGGTGAGGGAAAATACCCAAGAGGAGGAGAGCAGCTCTCTCAAGTCTGTGACAGCTCCTCAGGTAGAGGTATGCAAACTGCCTCCCCACCTGTCCCACTGGCCTGGCATCCCCAGGGCTGTGTGGTCAGCTCCCATTACTGACCACCTCACAAGTACTTCCAGAAGGTTTCATGCCAACAGAAGGATCATTGCCAAAGAGTTCCTAGGCTTTCAGAAACATGGGTGCTTCTCTTGTGCAGTAATTTTAAGTGATTGAAACCATATGCTGATACTGTAGTACAGTTCAAAAGGAAAAGCCTGGGTTCCAAGTTGGCCTCAGTTGTTGACAAGCTGTGCCCTTGAGGGTGGCGAGAATGAAGTGCCATCAGGAGCCTATTGCAGTACTCAGCCACACTCAATCCCAGGAGGGGGCAGAAAGCGAGTGAATGGTGTGATTCCTCTCCGCAGGCACCAGGGGCCTCGTCCTGCAAAGGCCCCAGACCTGGTGACATTGGTATCTGGCAAGTGGACACATGGTGCCTGCTGTGCTGTGATGCTGGTGACCTTTGTGGACCTGTCATTCCCCTGCCTGTTGAGATCTCTTTCACCCTCGGCCGCAGTGGTGCAGGGAGGGTGCTTCTGCTCCAGTTCCATACATCATGACCAAGGAGGCTGGGTATGATTTCCTCTGGAGCAAAGCTAGATCGCTCAGGGTCTCCCAGCTAGTTGAGGTGGGGCTGGCTCAAGTCTAGGTCTGCCGGTGCCAGGTTGCTTACCTGGGTTAGTTCAGCTCTCATCTTAACTGAACTTGAGAGAGTGTCCTCTGCCTTGTGTTCCCTCATTCCCATCAGGGATAAGGCGGAGACAGCACCCCTTAATGTATGATTCTGTGCTTCTCTACTGTGTGCATGCATCCTTGCCCTCACAGCTCAGAGCGTGAGACCGTGGTATGGACTTCCGGGTGCTGTGGCTCTGGGCAGCACAGCTCCTCCACCAGGCACTCCTTGCCTTGATCCAGGTTCAAAGCCAGCTCCTCTCTGAATAGCTGACTGAGCTGTCAGACAGTTCCATAGCCCTTCCGTCGTGTCTGCCTCTGAGTCTGTAAAGTGTAATCATAATAATCTTCCCGCCTTTAGAGGTATTGGAGGGAGCATAGGAAATAATCTGCGGGGAGCACGTAGAATGGTAGAACGGTATTTGGCAGATAGTAAGCGTTCAATAAATGTTAGTGATTATTGTCTACAAAATGGTTCTAATAATTACCCACCTTGAAGGATTGTTGTGAAAATTAAACATAATACATGTGAACAATCTGCCATATCCTAGGTTTTTCGGTTCATTATTGTGACTCTTCTCATTGTGAGTGTTGTTGTGAGCAGAAATGTCAGTCGCCGTCTCCCTGCAGCACCGGTTCAGCATCGTTGCTGCTGGCTAACTCGGGCTTTGTTCTCTTCCAACTAGGCCAGGGAGCTGGAAAGCAGAGAGGCAGAGCTCCGACACCACGACACCTTCTACCAGGAGCAGCTGGGGTGCATTGAGAGGAAGGTAGGGCTGTGTGTGGCTGCAGACTAGGGCCCTGGTCCCACTCCAGCACTGTAGGGAGTGGGCTGCAGGCCCAGGGCCCACTTGCCCTATACTAGTCACCTTGTGGGCCCTCCCTCCCGCATTCCAAAGCCAGCTTTTCAACAAGTTGCATTCACAGAGATAATTGGTTTTTAATTGGTCCAGTTTTTGTTGAATGTGGCTGGCTCTGCTGTAGTTCAGTTTTAGAAAAAAAATTCCCTTTCACCACAGGGCGGTGCTGAGACCCAGTCTACCTTTCTCACTTTAGTTAAGCTGCACTGGGTAAAAATAATAATAACGTGAAGACTTGCTATACAAATACATTAAAGTTGTATTATTGATTTTCTCCTGGGAGCCAGGAAGATCAAAGTGCACTACTGCTACACACTCACTGCTTTTCTAAGGATAAGCCTTTGAAATGAATGAGATTTAAAGACACATCATCATGCCTTTTCTTAGATGTCCACAACGACCATTTAAAATTCACCCAGTGATTTGCTTACTTTGGGGGGTTTAATTTGTTGATCATGATAGGTTTTTCCAAAGAAACAGCTTAAAACATGGAAGGGGATGGTTGGGAGGTTAAAAAAAATTGTTCTCCCTCTTGCCTGAGACAGCATGCCAAGCAACCTGAGCCATCACGTATTGCAGGCAGATCTTCGAGAATCATTTGTCACGGTTTGGAGCTTTGAAACTGACAGTTTGCTTGAGGGGCTTGATTTCCACAGGGGTTTTCTCCCGGGGCAGGCCACAGTGGTGGTTGGCAGAAATGTGGCTTTCTGGATTTCCAGGCAGTGGAGACAGGTGGGAGGTGCTAGTCTGCCTCCTCGGGGCATGCGGGGAGGGCCAGGTCTGATGCGTGTGACCCTGAAGCACTCACTGAGCCACCCTGCAGTCTCGGGGACCTGCCACCCTTACAGAGTAGCCCTTAACAAGCTGATGTTTCTCAGGCCAGCCCCATGCACAGGTTTGACTGTAGCTTGTAATGACAAGGATGTGATTTGAGATCCTGGAAAAGGGTAAAAAAAAAAAAAAAGAAAATCCACCAGCCACAGCTCTAATTATCACAGTTGCCCATATGTTCCTAGACACAGATTTCTTTCTTTCTTTCCTTTTTTTTTTTTCTTTTGGTTGTATGTGCAATGCTTTGGTCTCCCACTGTGCTCCTCTTGATTCTGTCTCTGGGTTTGGCTGCTAGAAGCATGTGTACATGTGTCTGTTTGGGGTGGAAGGGAAATAGCCTCGCAGTATTTTTCCTCCTCTAAAATCTATTTTCCCCTTGTCACTCTCATCTCTACTTCAGTTCTCCTTAAATCCAGTCCTCTGCTTTGCTGAAGGAGAGGAAATTCTCCTGGCTGAGCCCTTCTTTATCATCTTTTCTTCTCCACTCCTGGTGAAGGGGAGTCCAAACTCCTTTCATATACAGATGTGAGCTTTGAAAAAAATGGGAGGTCCTCTTACAGGCTTGTGAAGAGTTATTAGATGCTTCCAGAAGGAGGTGCATAAACATGATCTCCTTTCTGACTCTTAAACACAGCATTTTGCTGGTGATAATAAAAAAAGGAAAGCACCTCCACATCCCAGGAAATGGAGACTGGTGCAGGAGATAGTGTGGTGGATTGCAGGCGAACCAGAGAAGGAGAGAGAAAAGCCAAAGAATAATAAGGCTTAATTGTATTAGTTTTGAAAAAGGTTTTTGACCTTTCCCATGGATAATTTTATCCCTGTAATAGCTGGGAAGATGGAAAACATGGCATCCAACAATCTTTTTTATTAGCTGTTGCTTTTATACAATTGAGCTTTCATTTGTTGAATACTCTCAGACCTTGACATTTCCAGCTTCTGTGCACGCAGCTCCAGGACCTTCCAATCATCATACTCCTTTTCTTTTCTTTTTTTCCCCATTTCCTTTTAAGTTAGCAACTGACAATGGAAAGTTATGCAGGGAAAAGTTCCATCAGCTGCCATATCACCCTTGACCACCCAAAACATCTTAGGGTGTACGCACAAGTGAGGAGGGCAGGTGGGGGATGGGACAGCTGTGGTTTGTCCAGGCTGGCTGGAATGCCACCACCCTTTGCCTGTAGGATATGGTCCCCCTCGCTTATTGAGACAGGCAGCAAGGAGAAATCTGCACCGAACCCAGCATCCTGTTCAAGGAAGAGAGGATGTCTTGACCCTTTTGTATCATTGTCTTTTCCCCAGATGGTTATTCTTGGGTGTGGCAAGTATATTTTGTAGGGCTGCTATACTTTTAATCTTTCTGAGTAGTCGTTCCCCCTGCCCACACTACAAGGTCTAAGTAAAGTGTTTTCCTCCACCTCACCGTAGAGAGCAGTGAGGTGCTGAGGATGCCAGGCTCCGTGAGGGTTTCATGGCGGCAGAGGGCATGCCCTGGACTCACTGTCACAGAGGGAGGGCTGCAGTGTGGTTCAGCCCATGGCACCTGGGCACCAGAGCCCCAAGGCTCCACACACTGCATCGCCATCCTCTGCCGTCACTGCGCCTCCTCACGTCTCCGTTTTGAGATACTCATGCTTTCTGTAGGGAGTCAGCAGGCAGTTTAAAGGAAGCAGTGTCTATAAATGTGTGGCAGATGCTGGGTGCCCCTTGAGGGCTGGCCCCATTCCCTCCTGTCCAGCAATACTGGGGATTGTATTTTATGTCAGTGTCTGAGTTTTGGAAGAAGGGATCAGTGTGTGTTGTACACGTGTGTATGTGTGCAGGGTGTATGCTGACCCCATCACCTGCTCCCTGAGATGGAGAAGCTTCATCTCTGGGCTGCAACAGGCTTTTCTCTGATGTCTGCTGGGAGCCTCTCACCACTCCCTGGTCAGGCAGGGTGCACAAGGGAGTGGACTATGTACTGCTTACAGCCAGCTATTCTCACACAGGTGACAGAGAACACGGCCCTTTCATCTGTAGTTGGGCATGTGGACCATGAAGGTAAAACTGAGTTATGGTCACTGAGCCTCATTCCATCTTAGCTACTCCCCTCGCCCCCATACCTGGCCTCCAAGCTTTGCTCAGTTGTCACTTGGTAACTTCCTAGGAGTGGGATCTACCCACATGTCTGGATCAGCTCTCCTGGGCCAAGGGGACTCTAGCCTCTTCAGAACCAGTGCCTCTTACTGCCTTCTGGCAGGAACCTCTGGGTCACATGGTTCTGATGTGGACCCTGGTAGCCCATAGAGCTGACTGCTCTGGGTGGTTGAGACCTTGCCTTCCATGATCAGCCATGGAGCCTAGTCGGGTGGTGGGGACAAGTTTGCTTCGAGGCCTGGCAAACCTCACTCAACTTCTTCCATGATAATGGGACAGCTTTGTGACTCTGAGCATGCTGTTTGTATACTCCAGCCTCAATTTCCTTATCTTTGAAGTAAGGATTTAAGATTAACCTGCCAACTGTTTTGGGATTAGTGATAATTCATTTACAGAAACCATCAGAGGATTGGCATAAGCATTCAGTTCTCTTCAATGTTATTTCCATCCTCCCTTCTGTAGTAAATGCATAGCCATTCATTCATTCCACGTTGACTTAAGCCTGCCAACTGCTAGGCACAAAGATGGTTCAGACAGTTGTGGTTCCTGCCTCATGAGACCTCTCTGGTTTGGAAGGGAAAGGAAATGTGAGGATTAGGACACCAGAAAAGGAGGTGCCTGTGTGCTTCCTCCTGTGACCAGAGCACCTGCTACTTCTATAAAAGACCTCATCTTACTCTTTCCAAACTTGGCATCTGCACACTGGAGAAGGGATTTCTCAGGGCTAGCTCTACAGACTGAATCTGAGAGAAAGAGAGAAACTTAGAAATGTGTGTATTCTTCCTGGATTGCATCTTTTCCCCAGAATGTAAGCCTCCGACACTGCCCCTCTCAGGTGTACTTAAGAGTGAGCAGTCTCTGGCTGCAAGCCGTGCTGTCGGTGACTCCCACAAATGCACTGTTAGGCAAAGGGGCAGACATGGAAGAAATCCTGTGGACAGTGGAACAGACTGGATAATGGTAACCTGGGGGGAGTAGTGACAGGAAGGGGCCATGTCTGGGTGACAGTTACGGGTGTGCTCAGCCGGTGAGGATTTACTCAGGGCTGTTCACTAGCCTGCTCGCCAGTGTCAAACCCCATAAGCCATGGGGTGCAGCCAAGGGGACAGGTCAACAGGGCCACCCTCTGTGCTACTTTGCACCTTCCTTGCTGTGCTCTGAGACTCTGCTTGGACCTTTCCCCCAGAGCTGCAGGCTCTGAAGCACTGGTTCCAGCCACTACTCAGCCTTTCCTCCTCACTGTAACTGGACGGCAGTAAGCCGGGAAAGGTGAAGGATCTTACCCAAAGACACACAGCCAGAATAGTGTACTCTCTCCCCTGGGGCCTCATCTCCTCTGAGTTCCTGTAATTCTGAGTGTCCTAGCTTCCCACTGGTGCAATTTTACAAGTCTCACCCTGGAAGAGTTGGTAGGACACTGTCAGGTACTATGGGGCCAGGGCTGGGGTCAGGGTGTGGAGCTATAGCTCAGTTGGCCTGCTCAGCAGAATCACTGCCCTCCCTCCCATCCTCCCCTGGGGCTGGCACTCTGTCAGGGATCTAGCGAACACCACGCTGACTTGCGCTTAGTAGCATCTGTGGCTGTCTCTTGTTCCCGATGGGAAAGGTCTGCAAGCACAGAGTCCTTGCTAGGCTGACTCAAAGACGATGATTCATCACCAAGGGATGAGATAGAGTGTCTGGCATGGAGTAGGTGCTCAGTAAATGTTTGTAGGAGTAAGCAGAGGAAAGTGTGCATCTGGAAGCAGGAAACAGTGATGTGGTGGGTTCTGGGAGGGGAGGCGGAAGGCTTGCCAAAGAGACTTCTTGGTGGAGCTATGTGTGGAGAATGAGCAGGATGCCCAGGGCAGCCTGAGGGGCAGGATGTGGGAAGCTGGGGCTCCTGGATGGAGCTCTGCCTTGGCCTGGTTTTCCCGTGAAGGGTAGCAGTGGGTGGTGTG